TATAAAATGGCAAGGACTGTACAAATAATTGCCACCTCACTTGCCAGTGTACCTTCTCCCCTCTAGGCCTTTGCGCATTTTCTCTACTTGGAATACTCCTTACCTCTACAGTACCATGGGAAATCCTAGTTGTTTAACCTCTATGAACCTCTGCTCTAAAGCAGCAAAACTGAGAAAATAATAGTAGCTATTAAGAGATCACATGATAATGAATGTATGCAATGCCTGGTCACTAGAAATGTTCAATGATTATTAACTCTTACTATGTTACTCCTTCTTCAAGGCTGGCTGGAATATTACTTCCTCTGCTAAACCTTAATACTTCCAGGCATATTATTATTATTAATTAGTCATTTTTAATTACTCCCTCCTCATTTTTATTCATGGCTGATTATTCATACCTTTATTATAGCACACACTAGTTTTTATTTTAATGGTTTTTTACCCATCCCTCTGGCCACTAGACATGACCTCCTCCTTCTGGGCGAGAAGCATAGGGGCACCTGTCTTTCTGTCACTTGGACCTAACATTCAGTGGGTGTTGCATAAATGGCAAACAGAACATGGTAGCCAGCTGCCCTTCCCCTGGCCATATATTTATCTACAAATATGTATAGAGGCCAGGCACGGTGGCTTATGCCTGAAATCCCAGCACTTTGGGAGGCCAAGGTGGGCGGATCACTTGAGATCAGGAGTTTGAGATCAGCCTGGCCAACATGGTGAAACCCTGTCTACTAAAAATACAAAAATTAGTCAGGTGTGGTGGCATGTGCCTGTAGTCCCAGCTACTTGGGAGGCTGAGGCAGGAGAATTGCTTGAACCCGGGAGGCAGAGGTTGCAGTGAGCAGAGATCCTGCCATTGCACTTCAGCCTGGGAGACACAGTGAGACTCAGTCTCAAAAAAAAAGAAAAAGGTCTCACTTTGTTGCCCAGGCTGGTCTTGAACTCCCGGCCTGAAATGACTGTCCCGCCTCAGCCTCCCAAAGTGTTGGGATTACATGCATGAGCCACCATGCTTGGCAGCCATAGATCTTTAGCATTTACCTCCTCCTCCTCTGCTTTGCCTATTTTTTTCTTCTTTTTTCCCCCAGTGCCCTCGTTTTAACAGTACTATACCTATTATATTTCCAAAAAGGCTGAGCCAAGCTTTCACAGAGAACCTGCAAGTTAGGGCCTGAAAGGCTGCAGGGGATGGCAGCTGCTTAAAGGACCAGTTAACTACCTCTGGGAGGCTGCTAAGCTGGGGGAGAGAGGAAGGGCCAGATAGAGGCAGCAGAACATAAGCTGGTGCAGCTTAGTTCAGTGCTCACTTTTTCAAGGCCAGCACTTAGCTGCTTTCCCCTGGCAGCTTAGGCAGAGGGCAAACATGCGTGTCCTTGGAGCCACTCCCATGCCCTCAGAGGTAGTTGACACAACCGAGTGGGCCTCCTTCAGGAACCTAGATCAGAGCCTCTCTCTACCCTGCATTGGGCTGTCTCTTGCTGCAACAAGGTTTGGTAGCACCTTGCTCATGGCACCTAGGCAAGTGCCCTCCACCTGACAGGTGTTGACAAATGTTCTGGGGTTCAGGTCACTGCTGTGCCTCAACCTTCTGAGAAGATCCTTGTCCTTCCCTTCCCTAAAATCCTGGGTCCTGTGGTCCTCTGGGGAAGACATCCAGGGCCCAGCTTTTTTTCTTGGCTAAATGCCAGGAATAAAGGAAAAAATTCCCACCAGGTCATAAACCTTACACTAGAGAAAAATCAGAACTTGGACTGGATGCTTTGAAGCTTCTTCTTATAACATCTTTTTTTTTTTTTTTTTTTGAGATGGTGTCTCACACTGTCACCCAGGCTGGAGTGCAGTGGTGTGATCTTGGCTCACTGCAAACTTTGCATCCCAGATTCAAATGATTCTCCTGCTTCAACCTCCCGAGTAACTGGGATTACAGGTGCCTGCCATCATGCCTGGCTAATTTTTTATATTTTTAGTAGAGACAGAGTTTTACCATTTTGGCCAAGCTGGTCTTGAACTCCTAACCTTGTGATTCACCCACCTTGGCGTCCCAAAGTGCTGAGATTACAGGCGTGAGCCACCGCACCGGGCTAATGGTTGAAATTCTTAAGATGACCTGGGTGCTGCGACAGATACCCTTTGGCTTTAGGTTCACGGAATCCATGCCTGAATCTGCCATATGCAGCTTTTAGGTGCCTGATTCCACCAGTCCCAGTGGCATTTCATCTTTGAGCCTTGGCACTCAAGTTATACTTCCTCCTGCGCTTGGCAGGGTAGCCACATTTGCCACAGGTTGACTTCTAAAGGTGGTAGGCCTTAGAGCCACAGTGGCAGTGCAATGTGCTCGTCTTATTGCAAGGCTTGCCAAACAATGACATTCCCTTTGTCATCTTGCCTCTGTACCCGAGACCAAAGAGTGGGAAATTCTTACCAACCTCTTGGCAAAAACTAGATTCCTGGAATTTCACAGGAAAGACAGGCAAACACCTTCCCTGGGGGCTGCTTCTTGATTATTATTGGAGGGCAGTGACCTGGTAGGAAACCAGCATGGCATCCCCAGGGAGTGTGCCGTTCTGTTTGTGTAACAGCATGACCAGTTAAGCCATTGCTCCCTTGGTGATACATCAGTCACCAGTTCAACCTCAGTTCCATTTCCTCTTTGGCCATGAGATTCCTTGGCTCTGCTTTTCAGGTTCTGTCACTGCCTTGCTGTGGGCAACCTTGAGGGAGTTACTTAAGGTGAGAAGGCTGAGGACAAGCAGCAGATTGCAGTAGACCAGTAGCTTTCAGCTGGGCATGATTTTGCCCGGCAGCCAGGGAGCATTTGTCAATATTCTGACATTTGGCAATTTGCTGCCACAACTTAGGTGGGGACATCAGTTGCTATTGGCATTGAACAGGTTGAGGTTAGGGATTATAAACATTAACTATACAAGGAAGCCCCTCCAGAACAGTGAATTATCTGGTCCCAAATATGCCAAGGTTAAGAAATCCTGGGGTAGAAAGGCCATGATTGTATAAATGTCAGACTGGGATTGGAATCACTGACGTCCTGTGTGACCTTGGGCAAGTCACCACACTTGTGCAAACTTGAGATCAGTCAGCATAAAGCTAAGAACACAGGTTCTGGCGTTTGAATTCCAGTTTTACTAACCAGCTGTTTTAACTTTAGGCAGAATAATGCCTCACCTCTCTGAGCCTCTTCATTTGCTTACTTACCTGTAAACTGACTTACTCTGTAGGGATGTTGGAAGTTAATCATGGGAAGTGCTTAGCACTGTGTGTGACACACAGGCGCTCAAATGTTAGCCCACGTTCTTAGAGCTCACACCAGCCTCCTTTTTCCTCTTGGAACTTCTATAGCACAGAGCTCATGCACACACATACACAATGATGTAGGGCATGGTGTACTTATTTCTTCTCTGTTGGTGCCCCAAACTCCTTGAGAGCAAGGATGTTAGAATTAGATTTCTTTGCTTCCCCTAAGGTCCCTAGGAAGATGGTTAAATGGCTGTCTTTAAATTGCATGTAAATAGAATCCAAATTTTCTGTATGTTTTAACCCTCTTTGCTAGTTGCCTTTCATTAAGAAACACCAATCAGATATGTTCTTGGTTTCACTATTTCACATTTTGCAGTTGAGGTATGAGGTTTTCACAGAATGGATCCCACTTTTAAGTTAGTACTCCTTTTGAAGCCATCCAATTTGAGACAGACCACATTCCCAGCATCCACACGTGAGTTCTCCGTCCATGGCTTGCTCCTGCAAGGGCTTGGAGAAGAGCAACTGTTGATATGTCAACTTAACTATGTTTTACATGGGTTATCAGTCCCACTTTAGCCAAGAGAGGCAAGACTGGTGGGCACAGACTTTGAGAACCCAAGGAAGATGCTGCACAAAGCTCTCTAAGGAATTCATTAGTTGGTACATGCCCCCAAATACTCTTATCCCTAGCAAAACTAAGATTATTACTTCTCCAAGAACCAGGACTGTGTACTTTACCTGCTTTATTTAAGGACATTTATCTCTGAGAAAAGCTAATTGATAGTGAAAATGAAACCCACAGAACTGGGGCTAAACACAGGCAAATAGAAACCTACCTCTAACCCTTTAACCTGCTGTACAAGTTCTCCGTAACTGTTTCCCTTTCAGCGCCACCTGAATTGTTGTGTGACCAGAATGAAATTAGATGGGAGAAAAAAGAAAAAACAGATGGGACAACACTGCAGTTAAGGTTTAAGCTGGCCTGGGGGGAAAAATCCCCAGTCTGCCACTTACCAGCTCTGTGATACCGGGTAAGTTATTTTGCTTCCCCAAACCCTGGGTCTGTCATTTGCAAAACAGGCTTAAAGTTGTGTTTGTAACTCAGGGTGGTTGAGATAACAATGTAAAATCCTTGGTGCAAATTAAGCCCTTCAAAAGTGTAACCTATTAATATGCAGTTGTCCTTTGGTATCTGTGGCAGACTGGCTCCAGGACCCCAGTGGATACCAAAATCCACAGATGCTCAAGTTTCTTATATAAAATGGTGTAGTATTTGCATATAACCTATGCACATCCTCCCATATACTTTAAGTCATCTCTAGATTACTTATAATACCTAATACAGGTAAATGCTATATAAATAATTGTTAAACTGTATTGTTTAGGGAATAATGAAAAGAAAAAAAAAAAAAAGGCTATACATGTCCAGTACACACACAACCATTCACTTTTTTTTCCTGAATATTTTCTGTCTACTGTTGGTTGAATCCACAAATATGGAATCCATAGATACAGAGGGTCAACTATACTAAATTTGAAGGGAAAAAAACAAAAATCTCATTACTGAGGCAAACCCACACTCGTACTGGGAGAACATGAGAATGCTCCATATTCTTACAGTCGTAGGAGTGCTACTTCCCAGCCCTGAGGAGTCCCCATCACCAGTGGCTGACCAAATTCCCTCTCCTCACCCTTCTACAAAGGCCGTCCTAAAGGTCAAAGGACAGAGGCACAGACATGGGTTTAGAGAAACATTGTGTTTAATGGTAAAGCTTAGCACACCCCAGCACCAGGAATGGTATGGAGTCGCCGCAGCAGGGACAGGCAGGTGACCCCACAGAGCCTCACATGGCGAAGAGGATGAGGAAGGCGACCATCAAACAGAAGAGCCCCATGGCCTCAGACAGGGCAAAGCCCAGAATGGCGTAGGAGAAGAGCTGCTGCTTGAGAGACGGGTTCCTGCCAGGGACAGAGATCATTGCCAGTTCAGGGAGAGAAAGGGGTGAGGGTAGGGGAGGACACAGGAGGATGAGGTGAATGGGAGTGCTGCAGCTGAGAGGGCCTACCCTGCACATATCCTGGGGATTTGGATGGACAAGCAGAGGGGACCAAGCTGGTAGGTTTAAGTGAGCCAGGCTGGACACATGTTTTCTCTGGAGAAACTGTGATGTAGACGAAGTAATCCTTAAGGCTCCTGAAGGGAGCTCCTCCAGCTGAGGCCTCCCCAAACAGGGTGGAATTTACAGTGGGAGATGCTCTAGGCCACCCAAACTTACCTGGCATATCCAATGATCAAGCTGCCAAACACCGTTCCAATGCCAGCCCCTGAACCAGCCACACCAACTGTGGCTGCCCCAGCACCAATAAACTTGGCTGCTGTGTCAATGTCCCGGGAGACAACACTGGTCTGGAACCCCCGTCGGGCCACCTGGAGTGGGGAGCTGCTGTAGGAAGGCTAGAAAGAGAAGCAAGGCAGAAGAGATGGCATAAAGATAGCATGGCATAAGGAAAGGTGGCTGACTCCACCTCCCTCACCCCACCCACCTGAGCTCTGAAACTGTTGGCAAACTGCCTGGTAAATGCAGAATACTCCGATTGCAGAGTATGCTGGGAACTAGTCTTAGGGTCTGTTGTCAGACAGGACTAGGAAAATTTTATGAGTTAGGCAGACTTCACTTTTATAAGTTTCTCACCTATAAGGCTTACCTTGGGGGACTTAGAACTATTAAAGCACACAGGTTCTCCAACTCTCCTCCCACTTTGGCCTAAAGGCAACTTAACCTGAAGGACCCCTGTCTGGGGACATTCCTTGATTTAAAAAAAATTAATAAATTGGCCAGGCGTGGTGGCTCACGCCTGTAATCCAAGCACTTTGGAGGCCAAGGCGGGCGGATCACCTGAGGTCAGGAGTTCAAGACCAGCCTGACCAACATGGTGAAACCCCGTCTTAAAAAAAAATTAATTAATTAATTAATTAATGGGTTTTTTTAAGTCAGGGTCTTGCTCCGTCACCCAGCCTGGAGTGCAGTGGTACAGTCATAGCTCACTGCAGTCTCGACCTCTGGGATTAAACAATCCTTTCATCTCAGCCCCTGAGTAGCTGGGACTACAGGCACATGCCACCATGCTTGGTTAATTTTTTAAATTTTTTTGTAGATATGGGGTCTCACTGTGTTGCCTAGGCTGGTCTCGAACTCCTGGGCTCAAGTTATCCTCTTGCCCCAGGCTCTCAAAGAGCTGTGATTATAGGTGTAAGCCACCACACTGGGCCTTGGGAACATTCCTAAGAGGGCCATTCCTTCTTTACCTGTTTAGATGAATTCTCTGGGCTATTCAAGAAGGAGGCAGACACAGGCCTGATTAGACCCCTGGTACAACAGCGGATCTGTAAAATCAGAAAGCCACATCCTACCAAATCAGTCAAGGAAAAAAAATCCTACAGATTTCATAAACAAAGTAAGTTCAATCTATGTCAAAGTCAATTTATTCCTGTTTCTATTGGATAGGCCTGCCCCAGAGACAGCTCTCTTGACAGCCTGATGTAGTCAGCAGTGAGCCTTCACCATTCAAAACCATACCAAAGTTCACTTTCTTTGGGCACAGCCTTAATTGGTTTCCCAGAATGGAACAAGAACCCACACTAATACCAAAGCAGATACAGGAAGGGTTTGTACCCAGATCACCAAGTAATCAGATGGGGGAAATTTTATTCTGCTATATACACTCACTCCTACACACCCTAAATGGGGTGGGCCACTCAGCCCTGGAAACTGAATGGAATAGCCATCCAAGGACAGCCATCTGTAACATGGCTTTTTTGAAATAATTTTTAGTTCGGTGGTTCTCAAACTTGGCTGCACCATAGAATCATCTGAAGAAGCCTAAAAAATACAGATGCCTGGGTTCCACCCCAGTTCCCAAAGTCTGATGCAAATGGTCTAAGGTGCAGCCTAGGAATCAGGATTTTTAAATGCTCCCTGGATAATTCTAACGTGCAGCCACCGTTGATAACCACCGTTTTAGTGTGGGCTGTCTCTATGGTCAAGCCAGACTGGGGATAAAGATCAAATCCAGGCTCTCTGACCACATTCCAAAGCCAAGATAGCTTGGTTCACAGGCCCAGATAAAGGGGTTACCGTCATATTCTACAGCCTCCTCAAAGAGCCTATATCATCAGGACGCCAAGCTCCTCTCGGCTCATTCATTAAGCACTGCTGATGGCGCCCACACCTCACACCTGGTACTACAGAGCACGGCGGCGCGGCAGCTTACCAGAGCCGGAGAAATGAGTAATGCCCCGGTGGTCTGCATTTTTTCAGTCTGCAGAGGAGGGGGAAAAAAGTAATAATAATCCCATTGACAGCCTGGTTGTTGGCTTACAGTGACGACCTTTGGTCGTCCTCTTCACCCCCGCCCGTCCTCCCTAGACCACACTCTTCCTTGCACTATGCCCCAGCTGAAGAGGGCATCAGAGGTCAGAGGGACAGAGCAGCGGGTTTTCAAGGAAAAGTCATGGAGATCGGAAGTCAAGGAAAGAGGCCCAAGCCCCAGGAGGGAAATGTTGCGAAAGGAAATGGTCTCCCGGGAAGACTGGAGGTGGACATTGGGCATGTGTCGCTCAAGGTCCTGCCCATCTTACACAGCTGTCCTCGACCTGCCCCAGCCGAGGCAGTTAATCGTTCATTACCGTTGGTGACTGACATTAATTGATAAGGCCATGTATACATTGCCATCGCCTCTCCCAGCACAGGGGGAAATACACCTCCACATTGCCCAGCCCACAACCCTGCCGATCGCTGACTCCCGGCCCCAAGTCACCTGCACTCCCACTGCCCTGCAGCCCCTGCTCGGCCGACAGCGCTCGCCCGGCTCAAGGTGACAGACTCACCTCCCAGCTTTAGCCCTAGGTCTCAGCGCTCAGCTTCCCCCACCCACGTGTCCTGGGCTTCCTTCATTCTCATTGGCCGTAATATCCCCGCATTCTCATTGGTTTGCGTCATCAATTCCTCCACTCATATTGGCTTTCCGCAGCTTCTTCCTCTCTCTCCACAGGACCTTCGTGGCAATTCCCGCCTCCATGCAGATAGAGGCGGGGCTTTCCTACGAGATCTGGATTACGATTGGCCAATCCCTGAAACGCTAGACCATAGAGTTGCTGGGACTCAGAGATTCCATAACCTCGCGCACAAGATGGCGACCAAGGTGGACGCTGAAGAAAAGGGCGTGGGAGAGATGACGCGACGTGTGACGCAGCCAGACACATGACTTTGGCCCTGAGCTTCCATTCGGGCGCTCGGGCCACGGGGCGCGTTGCATATTGGGATTTGTAGTTGTACCAGGGGGTCCCCAACCAAGGACATTCCCGCGAGACATTCGAGGCAGCGAGAGCCGAAGCCTTTGCAGTAATTCCCACTGTGGCGGGTTGTGGAAACTTCGCTTTCGCGATAAAGGCCAAGTGGAAAGTCCCCAGGCGGTGAGCGCACTTTTGTGGGCCTCTGCCAGTGTCCAGCAGTCATGGACTAGCATCCAGATGACTTTTTTTTTTTTAATTAAAAAAATTTTAAAAAATATATTTTAAAGCAGGGGCGTATGGACTTTCTTTTCATTTTTTAAAATATTTTTAAATTTTGGCAGGGCTCGGTGGCTCCTGCCTGTAATCCCAACACTTTGGGAGGCCGAGGTGGGCAGATCACGAGGTCAAGAGATCGAGACCATCCTGGCCAACATGGTGAAACCCTGTCTCTACTGAAATATACAAAAATTAGCTGGGCGTGGTGGCGCGCACCTCTGGTCCCGCTGCTTGGGAGGCTGAGGCAGGAGAATTGCTTGAACCCGGTAGGCGGAGGTTCCCGTGAGCCGAGATCACGCCACTACACTCTAGCCTGGCGCCTGGCAACAGAGCGAGACTCTGTCTCAAAAAAAAAAACAACAAAAAAACTTTTAAATTTTATATATATTTTTAAACTAAGGGCAGATGGCTTTTAAAAAAATTTGTTGGGACAGGCACGGTGGCTTATGCCTGTAATCCCAGCACTTTGGGAGGCCGAGGCGGGCGGATCACGAGGTCAGGAGTTCGAGACCAGCCTGGCCAACATGGTGAAACCCCGTCTCTACTAAAAATACAAAAATTAGCCGTCTCTGGTGGCTCATGCCTGTAATCCCAGCTACTCAGGAGGCTGAGGCAGGAGAATCACCTGAACCCGGGAGGCGGAGGTTGCAGTGAGCAAAGATCGTGCCACTGCACTCCAGCCTGGGCAACAGAGCAAGACTCCGCCTCGGGGGAAAAAATTGTTTATTTTGTAAAAACAGCACTGAAAAGGTGAAATATCCCTATAGAAAATTGAGCAAAGGATAGGAACAGGGAATTCACTAAGGAAGAAATACGAATTGCAGAAACGAATGTCAGCCTTCCTAATCAAAGAAATAGAAATTTAAGCACACCACCTCGTACTGCTCAAAAGAGCAGAGTTCTTTTTATGAATGTGAGCCACTCGCTCTCCTATATTGCTGGTGAGAGGATGAATTAGAAAACCTTCCTTGAAAGCAGTTTGGCAATATCTATTTTTATTCAAAGGCTATGAATGGGCCATCCTCTCTGACCCAGTAATTCTTGAGTAATTGAGAGCCTTTAAGCTCTCCATCCGCTTTCACCCAGTAATATCACTTCTGGGAATTTATTTTGAAGAATCAGAAATGCAAAGATTCGGGATAGGGGCGGTGGCTCACACCTGTAATCCCAGTACTTTGAGTGGCCAAGGTGGGTGGATCACAAGTTCAGGAGTTGGAGACCAGCCTGGCCAACATGGCGAAACCCCCGTCTCTACCAAAGATACAAAAAATTAGCTGGGCATAATGGCACATGCCTGTAATCCCAGCTACTCTGGAGGCTGAGGCAGGAGAATTGCTTGAACCTGGGAGGTGGAGGTTGCAGTGAACGCAGATTGTACCACTGCACTGGGTGACAGAACAGACTCCATCTCAAAAAAAAAACCGAAAAAAAAAAAGAAAAAACAAAGAAATGCAAAGATTCTTTTAAAAAGTTGTGCATTTGCAGAGTTTGTCAAAATTGGAAACAAGTAAATGTTCCACCAACAGTAAAAGGTGAAACAAGTTATGATCTTTTCACTTGATGAAATAAGCAGAAATAAAACATGAAATAAAATCGTGTCCTTGAAGAATAATTTATTTATTATTTTTATTATATATATATTTTATATTTTAAAATTTTATATATATTTTTTTATTTATTTTTCTTGCTTTGTTGCCCAGGCTGGAGTGCAGTGGCGCGATGTCGGCTCAGCTCAACCTCTGCCATCCGGGTTCAAGTGATTCTCCTGCCTCAGCCTTCTGAGTAGCTGGTACTACAGGTGCCCGCCACCACACCTGGCTAATTTTTGTGTTTTTAGTAGAGTTGGGATTTCACCATATTGGTCAGGCTTATCTTGAACTCCTGACCTTGTGATGCACCCACCTTGGCCTTCCAAAGTGTTGGGATTACAGGCGTGAGCCATGGTGCCTGGCTATGATTATGATTATGATTATTATTTTCTTTAGGCAAAATTCTTTTTTTCTTTTTTTTCAGAGACAGGGTTTCACCATATTGGTCAGGCTGGTCTCAAACTCCGAACCTCAGGTGATCCGCCCGCCCCAGCCTCCCAAAGTGCTGGGATTACAGGCGTCAGCCACCGCACCCAGCCAAATTGTTCTTTTTTTTTTGAGATGAAGTCTCACTCTGTCACCCAGGCTGGAGTGCAGTGGCATGATCTTGGCTCACTGCAATCTCCGCCTCCCAGGTTCAGGCAATTTTCCTGCCTCTGCCTCCCAAGTAGCTGGGATTACAGGCGTGTGCCATCACGCCCAGCTAATTTTTGTATTTTTAGTAGAGACGGGGTTTTACCATGTTGGTCAGGCTGGTCTTGAACTCCTGACCTCGTGATCCACCCGCCTTGGCCTCCCAAAGTGCTGGAATTACAGGCGTGAGCCACCGTGCCCAGCCCATGGCTATTATTTTTTGAGATGGAGTCTCACTCTGTTGCCCAGGCTGGAGTGCAGTGGCACAGTCTTGGCTCACTGCAACCTCCACCTGCTAGGTTCAAGCAATTTTCCTGCTTCAGTCTCCCAAGTAGCTGTGGATTACAGGTGCACACCACCATGCCCAGCTAATTTTTGCATTTTTGGTAGAGATGGGGTTTCACCATGTTGGTCAGCCTGGTCTTGAACTACTGACCTCGAGTGATCCACCTGCCTTTGCCTCCCAAAGTGCTGAGATTACAGTTGTGAGCCACCATTCCTGACCTTGAAGATTTTATATTGAGAAATATTTTATAATGCAAAACTATGCATAACATTGTGAAAAAATATACATGGAAAAAGTATTAAAAATTAATAGTTAATTCTGGAGGTTGTAATAAATTGATTTATATTTTTATGAGTATGAGTACTTTATAATAGAAAGATACTAAAACATTATACTAATCTGGGAACTCAGAACTCTGGACTCTTAGGGAAACTTTTTTTTTTTTTTGAGACGGGGTCTTGCTCTGTCAGCAGGCTGGAGTGCAGTGGTGCAATCTTGGCTCACTGCAACCTCTGCCTCCTGGGTTCAAGCCATTTTCCTGCCTTAGCCTCCTGAGTAGCTGGGACTACAGGTGTGTGTCACCACACCCAGCTAATATTTTTTTGGATGTTTAGTAGAGATGGGGTTTCACCATGTTGGCCAGGATAGTCTTGCTCTCTTGACCTCGTGTTCCTCCTGCCTCAGCCTCCCAAAGTGCTGGGATTACAGTGTGAGCCACTGCACCTGACCAAAACTTATTTTTTTTTAATATTTTTTTTTTTTTTAGAGACAGAGTCTCTGTTGCCCAGGCTGGAGCACAGCGGTGCAGTCATCCTTCACTATAACCTTAGTCTCCTGGGGTCAAGCGATCCTAACTCCTCAGTCTCCCAAGTATCTAGGACTACAGATGGGATCTTGCCATGTTGTCCAGGCTGGTCTCAAACTCCTGGATCCTCCCACTTCAGCCTCCCAAAGTGTTGGGATTACAGATGTGAGCTACCTGCACCTGGCCAGAAAAAACATTTTCATATTATATGGAGATTTAAAATATCCCCCTGGCATGGTACAATTTAAAGGGTGTGTGGGAGGCCAAGGTGGGCAGATCATTTCAGCCCAGGAGTTGGAGATCAGCCTGGGCAACATGGCAAAAACCTCATCTCTACAAAAAATCCCCCAAAATTAGCCAGGTTTGGTGGCAGGTACCTGTAGTCCCAGCTACTCAAGGGGCTGAGGTGGGAGGATTACTTGAGTCCCGGAGGTCAAGGCTGCAGTGAGCTGTGATTGCAGCACTGCACTTGGCCTGGGCGACAGAGCGAGACCTTATCCCAAAAGTAATAATGACAACAACTAAAAGGAGAGTGGAGTTTTGAACTCATCATCATGGCTGCAACACATAACTGGTATCCTCTGAGCAGATTATCAAGTCTTTCTTTGCTTTAGTGTCATAAGCTATCATTTATTGATACCTCATTATATGGCAAATACTGTGCTAGGTGCTTTTACCTATTTTCTGATTTAACTCTTACAACAACCTTTTGAGGTAAGCATTATTGTTCCCGTTTTACAAATTAGTCCATTTTATGGAATATCTTTCTCAGATTGGGATATTTGGCAAGAGGTAAAGTTAGTATTTGAAGCCAGGTATGTCTGGGTCCAAAGCACAAGCTCTTTTTTATTTTTTATTTTTTTTTTGAGACAGAGTCTCGCTCTGTCTCCCAGGCTGGAGTGCAGTGGTGCAATCTCGGCTTACTGCAACCTCTGCCTCAAGAGTTGAAGCAGTTCTCTGCCTCAGCCTCCGGAGTAGCTGGGAGTACAGGCACCCACCACCATGCCCGGCTAATTTTTTTGTATTTTTAGTACAGACAGGGTTTCACCATCTTGGCCAGGCTGGTCTTGAACTCCTGACCTCATGATCTACCTGCCTTGGCCT